AAAAAAAAAATTGTACATGGCAAATAGTTCAAACTTGGGAACCCTGTTTAAAATACTTCAGGGGAAAAGGTTGTAACATGCCTGCCCTGCAGATCTAGTTCTGTGTGAGTGCTAAATAAGAAGTGACTCTGAGGTACTAAAATCTTCCAGGTGCTAGGATGTGAACTCACGATGTGATACTGCCAGAAACACATCTAACAGTGTCCTCTGGCTACACGGTGCAAGGGAAGAGCAATACCTGTTAGCAAGCTGTTTTCTAAGGAAACTCATTTGCCACTTCTGATGTTCTCATTGAGGAGCCCCTGATAATCTTCTGAGGAATCCTAGGTTTCCAAGAAAACACTGTTTGAAAACACACTGCTTTAAATGACAGGTATGTTTCGTTGTGAGACTGGCTGTCACAGGAAAACAAAACTTTCAGTATGAACTCCCTGAAGGGTCAGTTTAGAAATCAAAAGTCAGCAATTCTTCTGCCCCTCTATATGATTGTCTTTGGAAAACTGATCACACAGAGAAGTATCAAGATCAGCCATCTTGAGTGTTGAGATATGAAGTGCATTTCCTAGGTTTACAAAATCACAGATTTGGTTGATATAGCTCAATTCACACTAATATTTCTCTACATGAGCATCTGGGGGGAATGCATGGAGTACCAGATTGGCTTGCAAATGTAGACTGATGCTAAGGGGAATAGAAAGCAGCAAAAAGAAGCTTAAGCACAGACTTTACAGCACAGAATGGAGGCAGTTCCAGAAGTCATTCATTAGTTTCACACAAAATTCACAGCTTCCAAAAACAAGATCAGGTCAGGTGACACTGACTTTCACTGGTTTTGACATGACAGAAAAACTGGGTAGTATTTTCTTTTTCTCTTTCCAAGCCCCCTTTACTCTTCATTTTTTTTCTTGTCACTTCCCTCAGCTTGCATTTCTCACCAGAAAATGCCTTGACAGCTCTTCTGCAAACTAAACCATCCCCAGAGACTTTCTGTATTAATTGTATGTAGTCAATAGCTAATTTGTAAGTTACAGAGCAGCAGGAAAAGCAGAAGCATGAGAGACACTCACTTTTGCCCTAATGTGCGAAGTGGGAAATGCAATCCTTGCTCCTGGAGAGAAAGGTGTGAGCCTGGGGTCAGCTGGATCTCACTTTACAGCAGGAGCCTGACACACACTGTGCTAGCATCTAATTTATTTTATGATATACTGCATTTTAATTTGGGTGTCACTACAATGTCACATTCTGGGCAAAATACTGTAGGTGAAAAAAATGGAAAGAAAGAAAATATGAACTTGTCAGTTGACTTGAAATACTCACACAAAAAAGAGGGAAGCAAAACTGCTAGTTAATGATAATGGATCATGATGTGTTAATTTAGGATGCATTCTCTGTTTGGTCCTGTGCTACTGAAAACTTAATTACTTCTAAGATGTCTACTCTTTGTAAATGTTGATAACCCAAAGCATAAAATTTGATTCTTAAAGTATTCAATTCTTTTTCTTCTGCCCTATGAATTGCTTTGTCAAGGACAGAGTCAAATTTAGGTCAATGTACTTGAACAAGCATTTCCAGTTATTTCAATGCTAAACTTAACAAATAAAGCCTGTGACCTTAAATTCCTTTTTGATTAAAGCAGCAATGCATAGATACAATACTGGTAGGTGCCAGTACTGAGGATTCCTCACCAACAGAGATATTTGCTTGGGATAGATAGCATTCGTTTGCACAGGATATCCTCACAGCGGATGGTACATCAAGATGCCAAGCAGGGGTGAGGAATCTTTTGTCCTTCAAACATTTTGGACTACAATTCCCTGGAGGTCTTTTCACCCTGGCCAATTGTAAAGGATTGTGAGAGCTGCAGTCCAGAACATCTGGAGTTCACCACTAAAACAAAGTATTCTAATTGGGAGTATATCTTTTCTGAAAATGCCACTTGTTAAATAAATAATCAGAGGACTTACATGGTAACTACCCTGATGAGTGCAACAAGGGAAGATAACCTTGTAATTAAGTGTATATAAGATAATGTAGTCTTGTGGCTAAAAACTATACAAAAACATATTATTTAACAACCAAATAAAAACATATGTATAAGTAATGTGTGCAAGCACCAATTCAACACTAATTGCCCAGACCAAAAGTGGTTGGGAGATTCTAGGAACTGCTGACCCAAAAGCTTCCTTTTTTCTAGTTCTGGCAAAGACTGTATACTGTCAGCAAATCAGCAGTAGCAGAACACATCATAAACC